GCACTCATTGGAGGCATGGAAACCCCCAAAAGGAGAAAACGACCAGTCCTTTTCTTCCTTTCTGGAAAACTCTCTAAATATCAATGAGAATTCTGCAAAACCCTAGAGAGGAATGCGCAGAACAAAGAGAAAAGGAGACAACTGATCTGAACTGATTATCGTGGCTCTGATACCATGATAAAACTCAGATTAGATGTTCGTATATGTTCAGATCAGAAAAAAAAGAAGGAAAAGAGAGAGAGGAGGAGAAAGAGAAGAAAAAGGAGAAAAGTCACAACCGAACTAGAGAGAAAATCTCAAAACCTCTAGTCAGCCCTTCTTTTATTTATACTCTTCTAAGATATACAAGTATTACCATTGTGCCCTCACTTAAGTGAGAGCCACGTCACCAGAGCAGTACACATATAACTAAACATAAAGGGACTGCACTACCCTTGTACAGCCGACTCTAACAATAAGTTTCTTAGAGAGAGAAATAAAAACATTTTGTGGATGAATTTCAATGAGTATGATTGGAAAAATCACATATTAGCTGTGTGCCTTGATGTGTTAAGATCAATGATAATCCTATCTCTCAACTCAACTCAACTAAGCTGTGTCTCAACTATATAGATAACAGAACCATCTTTCTAAGGGAGGTATCATATCTGTTTTAAATTATGAGCTCTTAATTTCTTTAATAATTTCTCATCAGTTCTGTAGATGATCTTCTCTGTGCATGACCTAACCTTCTTAGTTTACTTTACCTCATTTTATCATCTATCTCCTAGATTCCTTTGAATAAATTCATTTCTGATACTATCCTTTCTAGTTTTCCCACTCATCCATCTCAACATTTCCATTTTTTCTACACTAATTTTTTCAACATGTTGTTTCTTGACTACTTAACACTCTGCTCCAAACAACATTGCTGACCTTATAATTGTTTTATAAAATTTCCCTGCTAACCTAATTGGTATTCTTCTATCAAATAGGACTATAGATGCCTCTCTCCTTTTTCCAATCCTGCTCTAGTTCTGTTGGTGCCTTCTTCCTTGGTATTTCCCTTGCCATGGATTGTTGAACCAAGGTAACAAAGGAGGTCACATTGAGATATTTGTTGGTATTCAATCATAAATACACCCTGATTTCCACTCCTATTATTATTATTATTAAAGTTTGCATATATTCTATTTTTGTCCTACTTATTTTATAACCTCTTGTTCTAAGGCATTTTTTCATGAATCTAATTTTAAAATTTACATTTAATCCCCATCTAGTTTCATTAATTAATAATATGTCACCAGCAAACAACATAAACCACCCTGTACACCCAAAAAAATGTTGTGATAATTAAAAAAAAAATTATGAGATGCAATTCACAATGAATATGGTATTAAACAGAATGGAATGACAAAACAGGATTTATGTAACCGAACTCATATAGTTGGGATAAGGCTTAGATGATGATGATGATGATGAATTCATGAGATAGGAGGCAGCATTCACCAAATAAAACAACAAAATATTATGGCAACTCAGATATTTGTTATACCTGCATCCACACTTGCCAATTTCCCATGACTAACAAATTGAAAAGAGTCACCATACCATTTGGATAGTCATTAAAATTGAAAAGAAGATAGCTGATCTTGTCAAGAAAATTGGTTCAAGGAATTGAAACTTTCAAGAAGAGATTAATATACAAGAAACCAAACAAATTTGCACAAATGGTTCTGCCGTTGAAGTTATGAACAGTTTATCAGCAGTTAGCATTCCAGAAACATCTACAATTATTTATGTCCCATGAAGTAGAAGAGAATATGAAATTCTGTAATAAGATGAATCATTATCAGATACATTATGCTTGGAAGTAAATTGTAGTGCTGCAATAGAATGAAAGAAAACTTTGTCAATAACACAGGATACTCATTTTCAGCAAGATCTGTTCCATCCAGATCAGAATTTCCAGCATTCACAATCCCACCAAAAACCTAGAAATTAGGGAAAATATGTTACGGAAATTCTGGAGAAAAAAACACTTTAGATGGAAAAGATTAATGTGTTCAGATTCAGACAGCATTCTCACATTACCAAAAAAATACTGATAAAATGAACAGAAGGAAAAGCTGACACCATAATTGACACCATAAAACTCAAAGTGCAAAGAAATAATTATTATGACTAAATACCAAATGTTTTATTTATACTTTTTATAATGGTAAAATATGAACAAAGTACATGTAGGTATGTGCTTGGGATGGTAAGAACCTTAGATTGACCATTCACAGTCACAATCTACATGACAACTTTCTTGTTGTAATATTAAGTAATAATTTGTAAATTAACATTAGGGAATCAAGATAATTTAGATATCTAGTCTCTTCAAGAACAAAAAATATTATGAGAAGTATCCTTCCCTATACCTGTAAACCAAGGGAGCAATAAATGCACAGAATACAGAAGAGAGTCCCAAGGTATGGCATCAAACTTGGTATCAGGGTCAAGAATGTTGCTATAAAAGCTCTGTAGCGTTGAACGTGCATCAAAAGCCTTATTAATCGCAACATTCTCGCAATAAGAAGGTAGCGGATCCTGTTAGTCAGAAATCAAAAGGTAAAAATTAATACATGCTTCAGGTATTTCTTAAAGTGATTAAGAGGCTATGTTTGTAACATAGGATCAATATGGGATCAGTGATAAACTGAAAAAATGAACCACTGCACCATAGATAAGTCTTAATGAGGAATTAAAAATGGTAGCATAAGCTGTTTCCCAGTCACTTGACCAAACTAATCAGGAAGAGGGGGAAGCAACAAGGTAAAAGCTGTGAAAGCTTGAATCTAGTGTTCTAGCACAAGAGATGGACAAAGGAGTGAAACAATTGACTACTTGACAAAATCAATACCAACATCAGGATGTAGCTAATAGCATTCCAGACACCATGAAAGCTGGACAAGAGTTGACTTCTTTGTCCTATGGATGGAATGATCTCCCTTAAGGCATATGTTACTTGAAACAAATTCCTTTTTTCAATGGAAAATTATGGAACATGTAGAAGGGAAAGATACTATGGAGAAAGAAATCAATTTCACTTGGTTCCTCTTCTAGTAACAGTTTCTTAATTTTTCTTTATTTTTCTAATTCAGGTAAATCTTGATGTCTTAAGGTTATTTTGGTTCTTTTATTGTGCAGCTATTTGCTTGATTAGCCTAAACAGTCAAACAAGTTTTAAGGGTCTTATTTGAATTCTTTCTAGATTTTTAAGAAATTCAAATTCAAGTTTGCCATTTTCTCGCAACCTATGTTATAGGAGTTAAATTAAAATTAAAGTTGAAATTTTGACAAGGTTTTGGTTTCATAAAACAAATTTCTTAGTTACTCCAATGAAACCAAGATCTTGTGAACCTAAAGTGTTATGGGAATGTTATAGCCATTTTATTGGTAAGTAGGTGATCAGATTGTGCCAGAGTCTTTTTTTTATACAGAATTCTGCCTTTATTCTTTATAGGAACCATCTAGTCATTTCTTTTAACTTTAAATAAGTTATATGGTCTGGTCCATCTTTTCACTTTATCTCTCGTTCTCTATTGCTTCTCCTAATATTTCCATGACATATTTCCATTTCCATAGGTACAAAAACAAAATATTGCTGGAATTGACATATTCCCCAATAAAAACTACCAATGCTATGTGGAGTACATGAGATAGGATTATAACATGGTGACTTGGCAATAGTATTGAAGATAAGTTATATTAAAGACAAAAACAGATGATGACCACTTTGAGCCATCTTAACTTCTTTTTAGAGTGACGTTAACTCTTAGCTTTTGTCCATGTAATAAATTATTTGGTTAACCTTTGACCTATTAGAATCATTTTCACTTTCTATGTGTCTAAGTTTTGCTTGAACTCACTCTATTATGTAGTTTTAGTTCTTAAAGTCTGCAGGACAACTTCATAGAGCATTGTTTTGCCTATTAACCTTAGTTTCATGGCTTTGTTTGATGGTTTAGAACATGATAATAATATAAAAGGGTGTTTCTATGCTTTTTTATCATTTCATAAAATAATATTGTATATTTCTACATAATTTACAGTGTTTCCATGCCTACTATTTTTACTATATTTATATATGACATTTTCAACATTTCTGAAATTTTTCTTATATTTGTACAATTGAAATTTCTGCCAACAATGACACTTGGAACATAGGAACATTAATAGAAAAAATTATGGTATTAGTAGACGCAATGAAGAGGAGATGGATTAATATTGCATGCTTATAGGAATTTAAATGGGAGGGGAAAATCTAAATAAATTGATGGCTATAATCCGTGGTACATTGGAGAAGTGAATGATGGAAATGAAATTGTAAATGTTAAAAGAGTTGGTGATAGAACCATTTTAATAAGATTTAGTTTAGGGGAGGAAACAGTTAACATAATTAGTGCTCATGCACCTCAAATGGGTTTAGAAAATTTTGGGAAAACTTAGAAGGACTAATCCAAGAAATTCCAAGTGAAGAGAAGAATTTTATAGGATGAGATTCAAATGCACATGGGGAGGAATAAAATAACAAATACAATTTTAAAATTTGCAATTACTAATGCTACTGCAACATATAAAAAATGGATGAACATTTAATAACATTTAAAAGTGGATCAAATTTAAGTCAAATAGATTTTTACCTTACTAGGAGGATAGAATGAATAATGGTAAAGATTGAAAAGTTATAAAGGAAAGATTAGCCACATAACATAATGGTGGTGTAAGTGCATATTTAAAAAAAATGGAAGAGAAATAGAGTAGAAAATAGGTGTTCAACAATTAGGTGGGCTAATCTAAAAGGAGAAAAACTAGTACAATTTAGAGGCAAAGTAAAAAAAGGAAGTTAGATGAAGAAATATGTAGTTTGAAATGGCCAACTGTATAAAAAGAATAACAAAAAAACATTTTAGGATAATCTAAAAAATGGCGAAGTGATAAAAAACTTGGGGGTGGAATGAAGATGTTCAAAATGTAATCAAAGTAAAACAAGATTGCTATAAAGATCGACAAAAGACTAAAAATGTAGAAAGTTTTCATTTTTTTTTCATGTGCAATAGGAAGATTTTTATTGATATTTAATAAGTCCATGATTAACGATACACCCATGGGGCTTTTTAGCATCAGCTAACAAGACAAGAAAACAAAAGAACAAGAAGCAACAAAAGTAGTAAAGTTACATCACTTGACCCCAATACAATCTGTCCCTTGTAGCCCCTTGTTTTGCCAACCCATCATCCAGCCCATTTGCAGACCTTAGAATCCAAGAAACAACTACTACCACTTTGCACATGATGATTCTTAACTCTCCTACATCATATCTGTGCTTCCAAGGAACCTCCTAATTACTCATTATCCAACCAACTACCACTTTGGAGTCCCCTTCAACAATCAAGTTTCTGATATTCATAGCTTTGGCTTGACTTACCCTGTATAAAATTAATCACAATTCTGCTTTAGTTGAGGCTCCAACCCTGATGGCTCCTGAGAACATAGCACAATGTTTCCTTCATTTTTGAACACTCCTCCAATACCTACCAATTCAAGATTTCATATGCTGCACCAATTGAAATTCAGCTTCATGTTGCCTTGGGATGGGGGGTCCATCTGATATAGGGATGCAACTTGGGCTGGGTTAACCCAAATGCAACCCTAACCCAACCTGAAAATGTCAGGTCCATCAGGTTAACGATTGAGTTAGGGTTAAGGGTGACTTTTGCCTACCTAACTTCACTTCTGGCTGGGTTAGGGTCGACTCCTTGGATAACCTGACATATGTTACTTGAAACAAATTCAATGGGTAAATTCTTAATATCTATGAAAAAAATGATCTTATAATTTTAATTAGGGTTGACCCCTAATCAAGGCAAACCCAGATAATTCCATATCAAGGTCTTAAATTCTTAATATCTATGAAAAAATGATTTTATAATTTTAATTATTTTAAAAATATATTTCATTAGGATGAATGAATGAATGAACAACATTAGAAAATAGGGGGTTGATACAAAAGCGACTTGTAGAATCAGGAATGCAAAATGTTTAACATTACATTTGCTATTTGAAGTAATGCAATTGAGAAAAAATAAAGAGATTGAGAACTTACATGCTTGAATATGCTTTAAATGTTATGTTTGATTTTATTTTAAATTTTCATTTTGAATATGTTTTACAAGTTATGTTTATGAATTTTAATTTGATATGATAGTTTTTAAACATTTATTTTAAAATTTAAGTTTACATTTTTAATTAATATTATGTTTATATTTTAATTTTTTTATTTGTTTTTTGCATTTTGTGCCTTGCTTCGAAAAGGCACGTGCCTTGCCTTGTGCCTTGGGCACAAAATGCCCCTTGTGCTTGTTTTGTGCCTTATGCTTTTAAAACAACAATTCACCTTAGATTGGTTATTTTCTCAAAGAACTTCAGAAAGAGATTAATGTTTTTCACCCCTACTTCCTCACTATCTCGAAAATGATGATGTCATCAGCAAACAATAAGTGGGGCACAATTACTTGATATATGCCTATTCTCAAACCTTAAAAGAGACCCAAATTGTCTACTTTCACTAAGGACCTGTTAAGAACATCCACAAAGATGGTAAATAGGAAAGGGAAGAGAGGATCTTTGTCTAAGACCTCTTCTAGACAAGACGAAATCTTTAGAACTCCCATTCACAAGAATTGAGTAATGACACGACTGCAGGCATACTTTTAACCATTCATTTCCTCCATTACACTCCAAATCCACATTTATCAAGAATAAGGTCTAGAAGGGACCAATCAACAAAGTCAAAAGCCTTATTCTAATCTATTTTACAAACCCAACCCTTACACTTAGACCTCTTCATCTCCTCTATATCTCTCATTTGCAATCAAAATTTAGTCAACAATGGTTAATTATATCTTAAATTAGGTAATAAAGAGGGAGAAAATGAAATTTATAAGTTAGTAAAAATGAGAGAAGGAAAAGGTAGAGATTTAAACCTAGATGCATTAAAGAGGAAGATCAAAGAACTTGACGAGGCGACTACTTTTTATAAAGACTAAAATGCCCTTAATGGGGTGGCTACTGTTTATAACATAAAAGCAACTTCAAAAAAATAACTTCAACTAATGGGCCTTGTGCCCAATAAGACTAACTAATGACCCAATCAACATCTATGTAAGCTTCCAATTCAAATGTCCATGGTCAGCAAATAATATCCCTTTGCCTGGATGTCCTTTCAGATAGGCAAGAATCTTGTCAATAGCTTCCCAGTGTTGAACTCATGGGGCATGCATGTAGTGACTCACCACACTAACCACCAGCCCACTAATCTTTGATAGCTCCCAACATCCTTTACTAGCTCACCCATCTGAAGCATTAATTCTATGATTTTGGTCAATGGGTGTATCAACTAATTTAACCCCAAGTTTTCTTATTTCCTGTACTAGTTTAATCCACTGTAAGAAAGATGATGTGAGATAAAATGGTCTATACCATAGTTTTCTAGGAGCCAAGGCGAACATAGGCAACAGGGGAGCGCTTAGTTGCTTATGTGCCTG